GAACCGAAGCAGCAGCCGCGGGAGACAAAGAGGCAACACAGAACCAAGGAGCCACAGCCACGGGAATCTTCCCAGGCACGGAAAAAACAACAGCCATCCGGAAACCAAGAGGAAAAGCACGGAAAATAGTAACCCCATATTAATTCTTATGCATTAAACAAGCCACGGTTTCCCAAGAGACAAGAAGAAAGGGGAGGGGAAGGGGAAGGGACAAGGCCACTCCAAAAGTAAATCCTTCTTAATGAGATACCTTTAGAGAATTAATGAGCTACTAAACTCCAGCTCAAACAACTAAGAGAACAAGCTCAACACCATATGCTTCAAAACAGCCAACCCGTGAACCATCAGCAGCCAAGGACCAATCGAGCCAGCAAACCAAAGATCTACCAAGCCTTATGCACAACCTACCATGATCATTGGATAGCTAAAAAAAAGAAAAGAGCATAAAATATACTATTGTTCAAATAAAAATAAAAATTACAGAAACATTTGATAGCATCATCCATAGTCAACACCGTCATAGCCGCCATTGGGGATCACTGGAACCCGCATACCACCACCGCCTCCTCTAAAATTTTTAGAGTATTAATCTTATATTTATGTTAATGAAAAATATTTATGAAAGAGAAAAATAACTAAAATAATTGAAGAAGAAACAATTTATCACTTGCAATTTTATGTCTTTTGCAATTTTTTATTTTATATGTTTGTTAATTTGTTACTTCATAATTTAATAAAAAATTAATGCCATCCTCTAACATATTATTTTGATATTATATAAAAAATCAATTTTAATATTTATTTTGACTTAACACAATTTTTTTATTTGGAAACTTACACCTCAAAACACCTTGAGGCTTACGCGTCACTTCACGATCAAAAAATACCTCAATACCCAATTGCATAATTTTAAACCTTGTTTGCACCATAGAACATCTATTGCACGAACAATCCAAACGTAGTTAAGGCTAGCAACGAAGAAGAATGTGTCACATTAGTCTATCCCATAGTCATAATGATGAAATTTAATAGTGAATGCCATCCACCAATAATTGGTTTAATCCCAAATGGTGGAATAATCAAATCACATGTATGAGGAACGAATACAGCACTTCACTTAGGATCTATAGTTTATTTTTTATAAAAGATTCTATAACACCTTTGATATTTCTTACGAATGTATACAAATGATAGGGGTAAGGAAAATGCACAAAAGGGAGATAACTGATTAAATTACATATAGGAGTGAATAAGATGAGTTATACTTTGTCCTTCACATTTTTTTAGAGCAATTGATAAATGTACATCAAAGAGGTCATTAATAGGTTGTTGGTTAATCAAATTTGACAATTTTGATGGTAGTGTGTTGATATTATTGGGAGTAAACTATTAGAGGAGTAGAGGTAGGCATACAAGCTTTTGGATGAAGAATAAGTGATGAGGTTATGAAAGAGGAGGAAGCAAAGAAAAGAGTGGTGTTGTGAAAAGTAACATCAATCAAAGAATATAGGCTTCAAATTTGGGGATCATAATATTTTTTTTTTACTATGAGAAAACCCAAAAAATATACACGAAATGGCACAAGGAGAAACATTATTGTGTGAACAAAAAACATAAACTAAGCAAATACAACTAAATGCCTTAGGTGTAGAAGGGAATGCAAGATAATATAATACCAGATTGTCATGATCACAACCCCTAAAAATTGACAAGGGTGTTCAATAACACCTTTCTATTAAGATATAAACCAATAAATTCAATAAATAATATTACTATTCGTGGAGGTTGCATACATTTTAGAGCATTATTAGCATAAAGTTTTAATTAAGATAAAAAAGAATTTTAATTTCTTGTGAAAAATTGAAAAATATTGAGAGCTTTTGATTAACATTAGACCATGTAGACTCAAGCAAACCTTTAATTTGTCACACCCCGTTTTGACTATTCTGATAGTCAACCTAGAGTGTAATAGAGAAGGAGAATCTAGAGACATATTTCTTACTAACACATATCCTAAAATACTTTCTATCTGAATCAATGGAGTAGAAAATGGTCAATCCTAACTCTTCCAAAACTTCAAGTTTTACAAGACTTAAAACTAGCATCAATATCTCATAACTGGAAGTATATTTAAACACATTTTGTAAATAGCTCAAGTAAAATACAGAGCTTGACTAAACTTTTAAATAACATTTATATATCCGAAAGTGTTTGTACAATTTCTACTTTGACCTCTATGTACACCCAAAACACATGTAAAAAAAAGGGCAGTCAACCGTCCTACTTAATGTACTACTGGCTCCTTCCCTTTTTTGTAGTACAACAACTGCTAATGAGCTAAAACTCAATGAATTAATTACAAGAAACATGTTTGTAGTTAATTGAAACCAATATGGGGTGTATAATAGGCATGTCCAAAACATCAATGTATATTTAACTTTTTTACATTTCCTATTTTGATTACTATTCAATATTTTAGCAAGTTATATGATGACTATAGGCTTTTGCACACTTATAATTCTTTAATTCAAGGTTGGGCCTATATTCCTAACTTTTAGAATTAGAGTGCAGCTCTCTCATTCAAGAATGAGTCCAAATTCTCAGCTTTTAGAATTGAGAGAATGTAAGGTACCTTCTATATGGCTTTCCTATGACTTATCTTGTCAGGTCTTTTGTCTTTGCTTATGTGGGCCTATCCCCCATCTATGACTTATCTCATTTCATTTAATTTTCATAAATATGCATATGTTCATATCCTTCATTTATAATATCTTTCTGAAGCATCACAATTCAATATCACATTTTACTAGTAATATATAACATGCTAAAATATACAATATGCTAAATGCAAAATAATTTTTATTACACTTACATTAAGTATACAAAAATGCTCCCATTTTCTATACTATAGATTGGGTGTCGCACCTCATTATGAATTTATTCACCCGAAATACCCCTGCCTCTTTTCCTACTAAAATATACATCCTAGGATTTAATGACATTAAATTTGACATTTTCCGTATTGGGGGAGAAAATAGGGTAATATTATATGCTCACTTTTTGATTAAAAAAAATTTAGGTTTAGGATATGTGTTAGTAAGAAATGTTTCCAGATTCTCCTCATCTATTATACTTTAAGTTGATTATAAGAAAGGTCAAAATGGGGTGTGACAAAATTGTCATCAATGAAAATTAATAAGATAATAGAATCTTAAGCAAAGAGAGGATATAAATCCAAATGTTCAAGTGGACTAACACAAAAAGAAGATTATGTTGACTAGTGGTAGAATAACGAAAATGCACATTATGGTGTTTATCTAACTTGTGGACATGACAATAAAACTTGGATAGTGACAATGAAATAAGAACTAAAATTTGAAGTATATTGGGAGACAAATGACCTAATTGATGATGCCATTGATAAAAAGTAATAGTGGAAAAGTTGAAAATGGACATTGGTCATCAAGTAGTAGATTACGTGAGTTCTAATAACTCCGCTAACAATGTTCCTCAAGCTGAGATTCTAAAAAGCATTATGAGAGAAATTAAGGTTAAAAATTAATTTTAAGTTTTAGTAAGATAATGAATGTATAATAAATTTAGATGAAACCATGGGACAAAAAATTCAAATGAGATGGAGATTTAGAAGGATAAGTATTGCCTTTTCTAGAAACAAGAGATAGTGAACAATTAACAATAATTACAGGGAATATAAAAGAGATTTGGAGGATTGAAATAGTGGTTACCTATAATATGGAAAGGGGCGCCTTAATCCAAAACTCAATATGTATCAATAGAGATAACTATAGCAGATCCAGAGCAGAAGACAATGTGAGAGGGTGGAAGAGATGTTTGAGATTGTTTAAATAATCAATCGTAGACGTCTGGAGAGTCTTGAAAGATAGTGATAGATTCAGAAGAGGTAGTTAGGTTTGGAAGATGATTAATTCGTTTGCAATTAAGGCATGAAGAAAAATAG